TTAGCGCATTTTCCAGTCAATAAGCAAAATTCAAACCCAGTGAATAATTAACTTTTTTACAGTATTGACTACTCATCTAGAGTGAAGTGGTAGACAAAACAGTATTTCAATGTTATGTAGATGCATGCTCACACAGTTTAGGGTGGCAGTACTCTATTATGGAATATAAACTATTGATAATGTTTGTTTACATACAAAGAATAAACAATTGCTAAATTTGGGGTTATCATTGCACAGATTATACAAAAAGCTAATGTGACTGCATTTTCTTTTCTCCAAGTTTGTACAGGTCGTAATTCAAGACCAAAAGGATAATGTCAAATATGTGGGATGGAGCAAAATCTGTGATTGCGGCGGATTGGGAACCCCACATGTTTGTGTACTAGTTATTAAAATTCCAAATGCATTACTTCTCTTGATATACAGGATGTAGGAGGGCAAGATAAAATCAGGCCACTATGGCGACATTACTATACAGGCACACAGGGACTCATATTTGTTGTTGATTGTGCAGACAGAGATAGGATTGACGAAGCAAGGCAAGAACTACATAGGATTATCAATGATCGAGAAATGAGAGATTCTATAATATTGATATTTGCCAATAAGCAGGATTTGCCTGATGGTGAGTACCGGTACATCAAAATACTGAATTCTGGAAGTGTTGACTACTGACATGTAATAAATATGTTGATCAAAAAGACGTCTTAGCCACACAAGATTTCAGTCGGCATTAGCTAACATAGCTAATGGGCAGTGCTAACACAGCTTAAGTTTATGATAGTAAGTGATAACAATTGATTTGATTAAAATTTCTAACAAAAACCCTAATTACCAAGTAATGGCCATTTTATTTTTGATGGAAAAAAAAAACAGTCTCTGCTGTACACATATGTACATTATCCAATATAATAATTTTCGAATTTTAATAATTTTCAAATGTGCGTGTGCCTGGCTGATCTAATTAACAGGTGTGTGGCGATTCATGGTGACCTACCTACCACATTAAAGCAATGGACCATTCTCCCACTACTGTGTGTTCTCAACAGTAAGCAGTGGTTGTCCTCCCTTTAATGACCATATTTTCTCTATTAGTGGCATGTATGTGACAGAGATATGCCTATGGTCAAAAAACTTTGTATTTTATACAATAAAAAGGTCAATTTCTATTATGCACTTCCTATTAAGCAAACATGGCATTTTAATTAGTCCCTGTTTCAGGCAGCCTGAAAAGGGAAGTATAGTTTCTTATTTCCGGTTTCTGTCCGTGACATCTCAGAAATTCTGCAGCAGATGTCGATGAAACTTGGCATGTTGATGAACAAGTCCCTGTTGCATATGCACATAATTTTTTTTTTCCAGATCTGAAAATCCTAAGCGGGTCTTTTTCATGATTTTCATTCAAAATTACCTCTCCCTACAACACTGAGAGAACAACTGAGCATGCTCAGAATAAATAATTAGCTTAGATTGTAATGCTAGGATTTTCAGTGATGTTATGACCTTATCTGAATCGATGACAGAAATGGATCACAGTCTGGTTTTTGTTCGGTTTTGTGAAAAATTAACGCTGAAATCTTGAGGGGTGTCAGGGCTACATTTTGATGGGAATTATAGTGGTGATACAGAAACAAACCCAGGTCCTGGTGATATACAAAGTCAAAAAAGTCAAGTTGTTCATCAAAGTTTACTCAGATTTATAAATGCAGTTTCTTAAGCATGTATGAGACATAGTTTGGTTGCACTTGTGTACTCAGTTTTCAGAAGTTTTCAGTTATCAGTACAATACTAGATTACCGTAAGGGAAATCAGTTATGATGAGTTGTACCCACAAAGAATATATATTAATTCAACTGTTTGCAGATGCTCCGTGTGTTATTTTAACACAAGTATTTTATTATTAAATGACTGGGACTGTGACATTCATGTCTTGTTTATCAAAGAGCAACTGCTCTTGGAGTAAACATACTGCTGTCAATACTGTGCATTATTTTTACCATCCATTCCTGTAGATTCTTTTAAATACTCTGTCCTTGTCTATATTACAGCAATGAAACCACATGAAATTCAAGAGAAGCTAGGGCTTACGCGGATCCGAGATCGAAATTGGTATGTGCAGCCAGCGTGTGCGACAACAGGGGATGGATTATACGAAGGACTAACGTGGTTAACGTCTAATAACAAATCATAATACATGTGTCATCATTCAAGTCATCAATATCTATTGTCATATTATATTAACATTGGAGTTATTGCCTGGGAACAAATTAATTATTGTTTTCGTAATATTTTTTTGTTATTCAAAAACTGTGTTCATTTGCACAGCATGCATAATACTCACACACACACATCATAGTGTTATTATTAATAAATTTTAGTCTTCGACATCAAATTAAATACTTAAAGACCCCCTCCCCCATAGACTCCAACTTGGCATTCTGTGTAAATTCTGATTTATATTTTAAAAAGGCTGAAATCTTCATTTTCTGAGAGAATACTTATTCTATTATATACCTATCAATTACTACAAAATATTTCATTTGTGGTTGACTTGAAACATAGCAACCCTTTGTATTGTGTAACCACTGGTTATCCCCAGGCCACCACTTTCTAACAACAAAAAATGCTGAGATATTGTGACGCGTGTCTCATTTTTCCGCTTTATGTAAATATCCTACAAGTTCGCAATAATCCATGTTCCATGCAGCAGCATTGCGTTTTATTTTTTTTGGCTGTTTGTTGCTGACCACCTATATGTATGATTCATAGCTATAGTACTACTGCTAGTAATATCAGAATTCTTTAAAATGGTCCCACCATGGCATGGCTTTAACAATTAGTATAATTCTATAGTACCGTGTAATGGTCTGGAAACTTGTGGGGATTTTTTTTTTTTTTAAAGAGCTTGATCATTGAGGTTATTTAGTGGTATGTATTTTTATATTGCAATTAACTTGGCCATTTTAAATGTATACAATATGAAAGAGGTGCTATATTCAGAATGTATTGCAGTATTGAAACATAGCTGTTGATGTTGTGGTAGTGTATGATTACGGTATCAAGTCAGTTACATAAGCTACAAACATGTCTTTCAAGCTGTAGAAATAAGGAATTTGTACCAGAATTGTTTAACTTGTTTCTGTGTTGTATCCCACCCACTCACTGTTATTGTACATTTGTTGATTTCTTACGTTACATTTGATGGTCAACTTATTTTGCTACACATGTATGTGCATTTGTTCTAGCAGTAGTCATGGTATTCAATTGTAAAATAGCGAATGTTGTTTATGACCATTGTATCAGTCTGTCACTTTTGTACAAAATTTGTTTTCCTTGGCAAAATACAATAGTAGTGGAGAGTAGCATGTTATTCTGTATCAGTTACGACTTATCCTTTCCAAATATCACCTGAAATTTTGAGCATTAGTTTTATCAATTTGGGGACAACTACAAACAGAACTGACTTATAATGAACCTTGAATCCTGTTTCTATGCACATAAACCCATGAATATAATAGTTTCTGTTGCAGAGGGGTGAAATGATGCTAATCATCTTTATAAAAGTTCAGCCACAACTTTGTGTTTTTAAGCAATTTGTAATTGGCCTTGATGCTGATACAGCAGAGTGTACTGGTATGGTATTGGTTTCTCACATGTTCAGTAGCTGAATATAGCTAAAATGCAAATAGCCACCAAGATCTTTGAAAGCAAGAAAAGCCCACAAGTCTTGTTTTTTTCACTCCAATTTTCCATTCTCATCTTCCATCACGTCCACTGTTCTAATTACCATGGTTACACCATTTGAAGGAAAACAAATTCCTGTGGTTTTCTTGCTCTTAACAAGATCTTGGTGGCTATTTTTGTTTAAGTGGAATATTGAATGGTTGTTTGTGGCAAGTCAGTTTACTTTACTTTTAAATCTCTTTATTTGCTGTGATATTATTGTAATCTGGCCAATCAAATGAGCTGGCTGCTCATTGGACATGCGCACATACCCACAAGCAACCCTTCCTGGCCCACAAAAGTGGAATGTCTAAGAAAAGCAACCATCATTGCTTTTTTTTTTAAGACATTTTTTTAAGAGTTTAAATTTATTGCATACTTGAATATTGCATAAAGAGATGTAATTTAAACATAACTATTGGTCACCAGATATTTAATTCATTAAGTTTTTGAGACCTGTATGCTTGAGATGTGCCCTCTAGAGGGCACCCTAATTTCTTATCAAGTCTTCATACACACATACACACACTAAGTAGTCAATCTGTAGTATATTCATAATATTTTCCCCAAAATTTTGATTTCTATTGAGTTTTTGTAAATTCCTTGAATCTTTGAACACACAAATTTTACTTTTCCCCGTCTCCATTCATTGGCCTGTTAAAGTACTTGTGTATTTATATTTTTAGTGTGGTTGGTACCGTGGTAGACTCCACAGGCCAGTCTGATGTATTCAATAATGTGTTTACAAACTTGGCCTGTAATAAATTTAGTTCACAAAGAGGGAAGTGGTTAGCTAAGAAATATATAGAAATGTACTTTTTATTTTATTTGCTGCGACCATTTGTTGTCCACAGTATATCAACTTTTGTAGATATGTCATTTGCAGCATAATTAAAATCGATGCATTTTTCTTTTTTTTTTCAAAGTGTTTCTGTGTGGTTTCTTTTTTTTTTTTAAATATTTCTCATTTGAGCACATGGTGAATAATTTATCAAATGAGAGTGGTAATTTCCAGATGTTCCGAGCCTTTGAAACAATTTTGCCAATTTATGGGGAAATCAATATCTTTACAGTGTTTTGGACACATTTGTATTGTAATTTTTCGAATTTTAGAAGCAATTCTATCAGCAGATTTTAATGCATTTTATGAGATTTTCGAACAGTTGAAGTTGAAAGAATTACAGCAACAAAGTTTGGATGGATGACTAATACCAAAACTCGCATTGGTAAATGTCTAAAATTATCAGTATATCAAATTGAGTACATAAACCAATCAGATTATCAGCAGCCGATAGGATATGCTGTTAGATATCAAAAATCAATTGGCTGAGTCACATGGAACGGTCATTGTGCATTGAGGGGGGGGGGGAAATAATGTTGGTTACGTGTCCCATGCAACAACACTAGATCCATGAAATTTTAACATTCTACACCATGGCACTTTAATGGGGTGCTTGTTTGGATTAGTTGCATTCCAGTTGACAGATTAGTATGATAATATCCACAATATTACTGGTTTTAAACTCCAGTTTCTCTGTGGTAGATTGTCAGAGCATTCAAAGAATGCTTTCATCAAGTGATGCATATTGACTTTTACTGAACTGGTCAATAATGTTTATAAATTATTAAATTTTCACAGCAGTTTCAGTCTGTATTTTACATTTTCTCATTGTAGTTATTAGGTTTTCCTTTCTGAAAAAACAAACAAGTGTCTACACTTGGCCAAGGTGCATGCGTTTTGAGAACCATCAATTTCAAGGCCAACATTTAAAAAAAAAAAATGTACACTACATGTATTAACTAATGAACCATAAACTTGTTATGAACATATACTATGATGTATTCTTTTTATTTTTTTTATTTTATCTGGTTTTTGCAGAGATCTATAAAAGCTTAAGATATATCAGCATATCTAATAAATCCTATAGAATATTAACATTTCTAGTTGTGCTGAAAGTAGGGAACAAATGACTGAAAATATTTTAGTTATTACAAGTTCTGACTTTCCTTGGCTAACCAGCCTTGTGCACATTAGTAAAAGTACACAAGTCGACATATGGCAGTTTTATTTTGTGTTATAAGTGACTGGTCGGTCATCAGGTTTTTGCATGCAGTGATGCCTCATCTCAAATTTATTTTTCTTCTTTACTATTGCCATGTATGAATAACAGCATTTATGAGAATGAAAGTGTGAACACCATGCAGTGAATATTTTTTATTGTTGACCATAGAGAACATGACAGCATGGACAAATGGATATGATGCAGCAAATCTGCAATTCAGACAAATGCTATTGTTGAAATAAACAATTCAAAGAATGGTTAATGCCACATTACTTTGTAACATATCCCATACTAGCTCCATTATTAATTTTGTCATTACGGAATGCCCATGTAGCTCAGGTCTGTGCTTCATTGGAGCAAGTCTGACTGGCCTGTTATAACACTTTGATGCCTATGGATATTGGTGATATCAGCTTGTAAATAAACCATGTGTTTCTGTAAACATAGGCTATGCAAGTGATTACCGTAACAGAAGTCACTAGCATAGCCACACCTTCAATGAACATTTGCCCAGGGCAACTGAATTGAGCCATTAATGGAGGTTATAGAGATAGATGAAGCTGTGTTTTGCTTTCTGATAATTTTGACTGATTTTCTTTATAAATTTACAAATTCAAATGAATGTACGAATAAAGCTCTTGATTCTGGTATGTTTTATCAAGTTATCAAGTTAATGTTGTAGCAATATAAAAAAAAAAAATGAATATAGGGAAATTGAAACACTGCTCCGTAGTACATTGTCGGAAGTGTCAATGTCATGCATGTAGTGAAAACGATCACTAAGAGAGAAACTTACTTTTACTTCAGTCCATTCAAGCAACATGGCCAATATGGTATAAACATGTACATGTAATCTGCTTAAATATACCATAGTAATTTCCAGTGGACTGTTTAAGCCTGGTGACTTTGTGGCTTGGTTTTTCATTTCATTGATACCCTTCAACAATTTTTAGTTTACTTTCTAAATATAAATCCTATATTGGAATACTGTATCTTTCATTCAGCTAAAAGAAATGCTTATTCAAATAATTGTTCAGACCATCATGAGTTGAACTTTTCTGGAAAATTCAATTTATAGCTACTTGAATTTTTGCTGTCTTTGAAACACAACTTATTTTTATTATTTTTGATCCAAATTTATGAGGATGATGAATGTGTCAAATCATATAAATGTGGTTGTTTAGTATTTACCAATAATCTGTTCTCTGTAGCATGCTGTGATGTGTGAGGAAACATCTCAGTTGTCAGCTATGAGGTTGTTTATTCGAAAGGATCTGTGGGTCTGGGATACTTGAAGAATTTCACTTAAATATTTGCTGTCGTTTATGGAAATTTATATATATAGAGAGAGAGAGAGAAGGTCCCAAAATGTCGTTACGGTAGTATTTACTATAGAGGGCGCAATTGAAATTTGAAGATGGACCAGTCAGAACATTCATGGATTTCTCAAGAGAAAAAGGACAAAACAGATCCTGAGTTTCGAACAAATACCAGTTTTTTATATAAAGGCAAATATATAATATATATAAAGAATTATGACAACCCACAACACTCTGATAGGTTGAAGTATTATGTTAAGATTTATTACCATACTTACAAACTTGTAAATAATAAATATTTTGGAATAACTAGTTTTATTTCAATTAATCAATTTGTCAATTGAGGGCGCTGTGCAGTGGCGAAGTAAGTAAAAGATCCCTCGCACTGCACCAGAACCATAAATTGACTAGACGCTTTAACAATTTGGTATAGGCCTACTAACAATATTCCAGATGGAAACCCTATCAAATACAAGAAAACAAGAAATCTGTAATAATAATATTCTGAAGAAACAGCCTTGCAGAGAAACAAAGCAGCATGCCTGTGAATGTTAATGCTTCATGTTGAATTTTGATAACTAAGTATTCTGCGAACAGAAAATTTTAAAACTCAGTTAGAAATGAATACATATGGAAAATCTACCACCGAGGGGGGCAAGGGGGGTAGCTGGTACAGGTTACAGGAAATAAAAAAGGCATTTTACGTTTTTTACAGAAAATAAAATGAAAGTTTCATTTACAGTAAAAAATAGGTTTTTATACTTTACAGACAAAACAAATTTTATACATTTTATACTTTTATAATATATTTGATAATTTGTGTTTAACTTAAGAAACAAAATCTGAACTTGCGTACGAATTACGACATTTAATGTGATAAATGCTTTGTACGCTTACAAAAAATAAGATCTTTGTACAAATTACGGACGAATAAAATAGCTGATTACATTTTACACCTTGCCCATGTCTACGAATTTACAATTCTTATTTATTTAAATTACATTATTACGAAAATAAAAACAATTGATTACAGCTTACGAAAATACCCCTTGCCTACCCTCACTTTACAGGGAACTGACTCTGATATGTGAATATCACAAATCTTGCATTTGATTGACTAATTGACAAATTACTGACTTTACAAATATAAAACTGGATATATATTTTTTCAAACTTGGTGCGCATTGGTTCTATTTATGAATTGGTACCGATTTCAAGTCGTTACATGACGGTGCCTGTCCGTGAATCGATGAATCAAACCTAAATACTTGATCTAGAACTGTCTAGCCTCATTCTGGAATGTTATTGACAAACAATAGATCGCACAGCATTTTATTGTCTATTTAACTTTTTTTTTAAATAATGTATAATAATTATAATATATAGCATGTGCTTTTTTATGAAAAACGCGACTTTGATAATTAAATAGGCAAGTTAACTTAATTTAACACTTGATCTGGGATCGAGGATGGACCTTGGCGGTTGTCAAGTAATTTGTTGCTAGGACGCCATTTTGAATGTTTTGAAGTAGATTGCTGAGCGCTGTTTCTGACGGGTAGTTCTTTGCTCAAGGTAACAATATAAATTATTAGAATTTTACGTAACCCGATTCATTGTAACGAATACCTCGTTTTCCTGAGATAAATCCGTGTCAGGTATGTGATAATAAGTTACAATAGGTGAATAATGGTTTTCAACCCCAAACGTATGACCATGGTATGACCAAACTGGGCAGTCATTCATTTGCTAAATGAAGCCATACACCTGTTTGGTTGTATATGACATACACAGTTGCTTCTCACGGTTGATTGTATAGTGCCTTGTAAAATAATTTAGACATGTCTCTTGTATACGTATAACAGTGTAATGTTATTTGTTTATTCAAACTTTACAGCAACATTTGGACCAAATTTGAACCTCATATTTAGATTGCATGACCGTACTCTTCAACCATTCAACCTACAGCTGGGGGTCCAGTAAACCAAATGATGCTAGTTGATGAATAATAACATTCTAGAGATATATGTTACTTTGTGTTTGAAGTACATGTATATGTACATTTTATACTGCTTGAACAAAAGTGGTTGATACTGCAAGGTTACTTTTATACCTATCAATGGAATTGAAAAGTGTTTTATTTCCATGCAGTTGAGTCTAGAAACAAGTCACTCAGATTTACTGTTATATCTCAAGGCCTCTAACATGAGATGTTACAAATATAATGTGTGGGGAATCTCGAACAATCTGTATTTGTTTGAAATGAGGATAAATTGTATTCTTCTACATGCTGAAAAATTCTGACTGGTTAAAAACTTGGGGTTAACACAATTTTTAATGATCCAGCAGTGTACATCACCTAGTACATGTATGTTCATATCTGATATCATATCTACCCATGAGAAAAAAAAATACTAGTAGTGCAGTAGTCACTACCCACTTAAAATTACTGATTCATGTAATTTGGTATATGCTTTCAAAGTAACTTATCAGATAATGCTACCAGTATTTCACTGAAGTCCAGCTACCATGATGTTCATTGTGATGACTGTTTAAACTTTTGGTGTATTCTTTATCACAGCTTGATTTCAATTTGTATCTAATGTGTTTCCATATTTCTGAGTCAATCCTGTGCTTCATCACCAGACCTGTATTACCACAACCAATAATTTGTTGTGTGCATATGTTTTAATGACTTCAAGTTCATATGATAAGGGAATGCAAATTGATCTTACAGATATTCAATTTACCGCACTGAATCACAATGCCACTTATCACTGAAATCTTTGATGATGAGGAAACTGTAACCAATCAGCAAGAAGAGAAGAAAGTGCTGCCTGCAAAGAGTGATTATGAAGAAAAATTAACCACATTGCCCGATAAAGCTGACGAAATAAAGGATGCAAAACAATTTAGCAAAATTGATGAATCCCCAAAACAAAAAGATGATGCTGAAACGAAGAACGATGAAACCCAGACAGGTGATAATGTAAATAAAGACAGTTACATGAAAATTGTGGAAATAAATAATCATAAAAATGAATCTGGTGATTCAAATAAAGCAACTGATAGGTTAGATGACACATCAAATAATGATGCTGTTAAAGAAACCGAAGCAGAATCCCAGGAGAAAGAAAAAGAGAATTTATCTCATTATCCAAGGTTAGTCTATATTTTTTTAATCATGACTACTGTAAAATGTCTAATTTTCACTGGGTTTAAATTTCACTGATTTACCATTTCAGGCATATTCAGTGGGTTTTAAATTCACGGTTTCGTCATTTAGATAATGTGTTCTATGCTAAATTTTACATATTCACTGTGTTTTAATTTAGCGCATTTTTCCAGTCAGCGAAATAAGCTAAATTAAAACCCAGTGAATAATTACCCCCTTTACAGTATGTACATACATTCACAATTTGTGCATTTGCAGACTAGATTACAAGTATTAGATCTTGTTGAATAATATGAGATTATTGAGAGTCAGTGTACAACAAGAATGCACATCTTCCAACAAATACTGTAATAATTTTAATGTGGGATACCATTTCTGTTGATTCTGGAAAATTAAGACTTGTTGTTATCATACACTGACTTGTACATGTACTCTGATTGAATATTTGGATTTAGTGGACTAGCATAGAAAATAATCTGGAATTGTGTTAGCATTTTTGTTGCAAGTGCAATGTAAAAATAAAGATGAATTTACAATTTATTATGTATGTCTTTATCTTTATTATGTACGTCTTTATCACAATTCGAATCCATGCATACATCCATATTTGAACAGTGATATTTATACCAAATCAATCATGGAAATTTTTAGTGTCTAAATAGAAAAAAAATGTTTGGTGAAAAATCATATTTTGACTTCATTTTCTATGTGCTAGTGCATACATTAATTCTCATGTATGATCTATGCAACCCCATTTGTGTGTATAACAGTATTGCAGACTTAGATTAATAATTAAAAAATTGTTTCCCCAGAATGACTGCCAAGGAGCTGAGGGGGTTATGTAAGAAACATAAACTGTACTTGACACCACATTTAAATGATGTCATGTATCTTCACTACAAAGGTAAGTATATTGAGCAGATCACAGGACTGCATTATGATATTTTGTTTCTCTATATTACCCTATAATATCTGATTAAATGAGCTGTAAATACTAATTTTCATTTGTTCAAAGCCTTTAGTAAGAGACAGTCAAATGATATTTACAATGATTTAATGAATCTGATATTGTATCGTCGTGAATGCCAAAACTCTCATCCACAATGTTGTTCCTGCTTAGAATTTACTTTCCGGAAAAGGTAAATCAAGAAAAATTAGTAATTAAATAGCAAGCTTACCATATTTGCTCCATTAGTACAGTGGCATATGCGATTAAGTGAATGATAGATGTATATAGAGTTAAATTACAGTATGTGACCTGTTTTAAAGATATTGTTTCTAAATCATATTTGCTTTTGTTTCCATTCTTTTAGGTTTTGGTAAAATTGAAAACTTAGAACCGTACACTGGTCTGAAGTGTGTGTATCTGGAATGTAATGGTTTTCGAAAGATTGAAAATCTTACGGAACAGAAGATGATGAAATGTTTGTATCTACAGCAAAATATCATTGAGAAAATTGAAAACTTGGAACAGATGCAGGAATTGGATACGTTGAATCTTAGTAATAATATGATTAAGCGGATTGAGAATGTTTGTAAGTATCTGAATCACAGTTCGAAAATTCAGAATTATGTACTCTGAAAACTGCCTGAAATTGATGAGAAATTCTCAACATGTTCGCGTAGGTCACTGACTTCTATGTTGTATGGATCGCAGTGGAATTTGTTTCTCGGGTGGTTTACAGTGTAATGCAAAATATTATGCATAAGTCAAGTCATCCTATTACCCGGTACTGGTATTGTCTAAGGGATTTTTGATGGATTTTGACAAGACAATATTTATCTTCATCTAAAATTAACAACATTGGGTATTTATATATTTTCTTCACTCTCAATTTGCAGCATGCCTTCCAAAACTGAACACATTACAGTTATCCCATAACAGGGTAGGGACAGCTGATGACATTGCACATTTGGCAGAGTGCGACTCGCTGAGTGTTGTAGATTTATCTCATAACAAAATAGTGGATCCCAATATTGTAAATATATTCGCACAGATGAAGACACTGGTGAGCACAATACTTCAATTATTCTTGCATGAGGTTCTTTCATTGATGTTATCTAGTTAAATATACTTGCCAGGATGAATTAAGGGCCATTGTGAACCACCATTATTTAATTGTGTGAGTGAAATGACATTCTAATCTATCTTTTATATCACTATATATTTTTCACAGTCATTAGCGTGTATTATAGATGTTTTCAAACTTTTGCTAGATGCCTACTATTTTTAGTCATTTTGTATCTCAGCCATTGGAAAGAACTAGACATCAGTTGGTATGATGGTATACTCGGACAGAAATATCATGTGATATTGAAACCGGTGAACAAATTATTATTTCTTTGTTAATTTCAGAGGGTGTTGAATTTAATGGGCAATCCAGTTATCAAAAATATCAAGAATTATAGAAAAACACTGATTCTCAAAATCGTAAGTATTTTCAAGAACCGATACCAATGACTTCTCCTAATCAGATAAGAAATCAATTCTATGATGTATATGGGTGAAATTAACAAATGCTATCGAATTCATAGCATCACTATTATTATTATCCATCATTAAACAATCATGTGTGAATTTATTTGAACAAAGTTCCAAGCAGGGTCTCCAAAACTGATAGACCATTTTCATTTATATTTGGCACATGCAAAATATATAATGGAATACATGTCAGTTTGTTTCATAATCAGATCAAAGATGAATATCACATTGTCAAATATCCCAGGGTTCTAAATTCAGTTTTATGTTTTGTTTTTCACAGAAAGGGCTCACTTACCTGGATGACAGACCAGTGTTCCCTAAAGACAGAGCCTGTACTGAGGCATGGTGAGTTTAATTAGCTAAAACTGAAATTGTGATGTTTTATTTCTTAAAAGTAACAATTATTTTTTACTTCATTTGTTGTACAAATCTCTGGCAAACAATGTTTTGAACATGCAGCTTATCTTTTCGATACATGGTAAAAATCACATGATACTAAAGTTTTTTTCAGACTGAATATGTCAAAATTTTCTGTATTTTATGGCTTGAAATTCTGGTTAAATTACTTCAAGTACTTTAATTCAAGACCAATGACCAATACCAGGTTTTGTTAGGATAACAAATATTCAAATTATTGTTACTGTAAAAATAATACAATGTACATGCTTCTTGTATGGATAATTAAACAATACATATTTGTGTTTTGCAGGGCTGTTGGGGGCAGGGAAGCCGAAAAAGAAGAGAGACAAAGATGGGCAAACAAAGAGAGAGCTAAAATACAAGCTAGTATCGATGGTAAATAGTTTGATTTTGATTACATGGTTGTTATAACATAATTGTTATTTTTCTTTGTGGGTACTATTCTGTTAAATTACTTCATCATGGTAGTGCTATTTATACTGAATTTTAACTGTTATACATATATGTATCTCCACAGCCTTATCTGCTGTGAGGGAGAGAGCTGAAAAGGCGAGGAAAGAAAGAGAAGAACGGGAAAGACAGGCATCAGAGGGAAACAAAAAAGATGAAGAAGATAATAAGGATGGTGAGGACATTGATGACAGTGATATACAGCTTGACGTGGATGATGATGAAGATGATGACAATAATGAAGATGATTTAGTTGATAAGCTTATATCAGGTATGTATGTATGTTATGAACTGGAGTGACGAATCGTTTCTGTTATGTAATGGGTAAAATAAAGGCTGGATCCGCTATAGTGTTGATATTGTTTGGATCTGTAGTTTTTCATCAATGAAAACTACTGTCTTTGAGAGAGGTAATGTTGTAAGATAACAATCAACTACATGTACACAATCTACCAACCAACTACGTTGTTTTCACCCATTTTCATTGAGCTCACATATAAGCTTTTTGTCAAGGACTTTTCTTAAGTAATATGCATTCTTTTTGCTTGCAAATTATACAAAAGGTATACTAAAACTGAAACTCACATTGTAGTCAAACTGCCCACTTCCAACATCGCTATTAGATTACATTGTTGGTGGTTCTGAAGAACAAAACGATGGCCACTTTTGCAGACCTAGACTTGAAACAACCAACCATTGAGCAAAATAGATCTTGCTCAGAAGAGAACAATCATTGCTAACATTTGCTTTCTATTACTAAATCTAGACTGTGTTGTTTCACCAAAGTCTAATGAAGAAGGTAAACTTACAACTGAGATGGCTGATGATGATAATATTGATATAATAGATTTATCAAAGGGTAGAGAGGAAAAGATAAACATTGATGTGAGTAGTATACATAAAACTGAAAGCATTGTGGCTCAGTCCAATCTTGTTTTGTGCTATATGTATGTTCAGTATTTAGATTTTTATAATTATATTTTAAGTAACTAAGTATTTACAGTGAAAATTGGATGCTCATGTATGTAGCTAGAGACAAGTATATTACTTAGGATCATATAAATATTTATCATAGAACCATTATAGTAGTACTGTAAAATACTTTATTTTAGCTGGAATTAATTTTCGCTGAAAAGGCTTTTTGGGTGTTTTGTATGGAATTTATTTTCACTGATTTTTGGCGAGTTGAATTTAAATTATAGGAATACAAGTATATTCGCTGGATTTTATTTTCACTGAAGCATTCCTTCAGCAAAAATAGCGAAAATTAAGTATTTTACAGTACATGTTTTTTTTTTTTAAACATATATCATCGTGTGTTTGTTTGTTAATTATGCAATTTATGTAAATTTGGTACAGGATTTGCCAGATCTAGAAGATGTTGATGTCAGTGAAGAGTATGGTATATCCGCTGAAGAACCTCAAAAGGTAAATACTATTGTGTATGTTTTTGGTGGTTGCATGCCTCCGTGATTCTATGCAGTCTTAGGAGCATGCGTGTACTGTCGGGCACCAACCTTAGGGTTGTATGTGTGAAAACATTGTAAAGGACAGTAATGTAAACAAGACGTCAGAATTGGTTTGAATAAATGATTAGTTGAATAAATCCCACACACAGTTTTCACCTCTGGTTTTGTGGGCACTCTGAGACTTGAGATAAAATAGCATCTGTTTGCTTGCCAGATTGGTTGATATAGACAATCTGAGCTCGTTTATGAGTAAGCACACCAAGGAGTGGTTAGTTTGATATTTTAAACTCTGGACTGTCATCGCACGTTTTAATTTTGCTGTTGAAGTCTATGAAGTGTTCACACACCTGAGGAAACTTGTGTGGCTAATTCACTTTACTGTGTAGGACAATAGACAATTGTGGGTTCGTTATGCATTCAAATTTTAGCATGTACATGTATTTGTGTTGACATTGTTCATGAATGTGTGGTCTAAAATGAAAATGATTTCATCAAAAATTATCATCACTAAAATTCCGTTGTATAATACCTGGATGTCCTGTAGTTGAGATTAGTCATGTCATGGATTTTATTTTCTACCAATCTTCTTTAGAATCAGGGGTAATGTTATTTCAATTTATTGGGTTGAAATGAAACTAATATACTGTCTCCAGATTCTCACAAGAGTCAACTTGTAAATATTCAAATCTATGAAATATGTCTGTAAAATTAAATACTACATATGTTTATTTCAATTATTTGCAGACTGTGTATAAACCTGTTATTGAAGTCTTGGATGATGATGATGACGACGATGAAATAGATTTGTCAAATAAATCTCACATCCAGGAAGTAAAAAATCCTGAAGGTCAGAAATTTTTGATTGAGGATGTTAGTGATTTATTGATGACCAAGACTCCATTGGTTGAGGAAGTCCACAAGTCGGCTGGCGACAATCGCATGCAAACTAAGCTAGTGATAGAGGATATCACAGAGGAGCTTAGCCAGTCCAGATTGACACCAACAAAGTTACTTATAGAAGATATGAATGAATTGAATGAGGTTAAATCGGATGACAGTAAAGCAAAGATTGAAGTCATCGCACAACATCCTACAGGACGTAAGTACAAACTTAAAAAAAAATTGTCATGCGTTATTTCGGTCGATGTTGTCAACTGTGAAAGTGAACAGGATAATTTTAAGTTGTGAATATGTAAATGCCATACATCCCAATAAATTGCTATGAAATATAAACATCATTCAAATTTAAATTGTCTTGTAAAATTATATAAGTATGTATTGTGCTTGATTTTATAGAAATTACCACCAAAACATTTGTATTTTGCTGTCTGTTATTAAAGCACTCTTTTATTTGACTGAATTATTTACACAGAAAACCTACCCGCGCATATACAGGTAAAAATTGAAGAGTTAGCTGAGCATGGAGGTTCTACACACGATAGACCTTCTATTGACAAAGACATAAAGGCAAAACTGAAAGAATATCAGCAGAAAGGAACTGGAGATGCAAAACCACACAACCCGTGAAGTATTATCTTGCGCTAAGATACTAAGACAAATGTTATATTTATTTTTGCAGTACTTTATTGTTAATGAAACTATTAATTTCTGGAGACTTGCTCAATTTTATTTGTATTATCTCAAAGTCTTAGTAAAAATGCTAATGTAATCAAGCAGCTGATTTTCATACATCAAGGAATTTATTGTTTTTTCTACGAACACATCTGTAATGTCACATGCCCAGTTTACATACCGGTATATACAGATATATAAATTAACCAAATATTGATATCTTAAAGAGTTTTTGGTGAAATCTTTTTTGTAAGTTAAAAAGTCTTCTTTTTTTTTACTGTATATAAAATAATCAGAATCGAGTGTTATGTGTTATTTGTATAATAATTATTAATAAATCTCAAATTATAATTTCTTCAAAACATTCCTAAACATAGTACAGGTTCAACCCTGTGCTTGTCCATCATCACTGAATACCTTGAAGTGACATGTAATTCTATATTAATTCTGCACTCTGCACATAAGTTTAAAACTTTGCAATCAATGGAAAAACACAAACTGTCGAGTTATTGGTGACAACCTGTTCGGCTATTATAGTTGATTCTTATTTCTGGATGGATGGAGTTTTTGTAAATAATGTCTTTTTTTATAATTTTTGTTGCTGAAATTTTTCTAGAAATAAACCAGCATTATATAAAATATACAAGTTTTGCAAGTTATCGTGGCTATTCCAAAATAATACAAATCAGATCTGACTTGGCATGTTATATGCTACCCCACTATATTTGTAGAGTTCAGTTTTGTTAATTATCAGTATCAAATAAACTTGATTTTTATGTGTAAGTTATTTCGCTACTTTTTAAAGCTTCAGCTTTTTACTGTTATTGTAATATTTGTATTGTTTAATTTATGATATTCAATGCAGTGAATAAAAGTGTGGATTCAATTTTTTTCAAGAAGTGAATTTGTATAATCTATTGTTGTCTGTAAGTGATTATTGTTACAATCATTCCCTGTTACTTATTTTTGAGTCGAGCTGTAATGTACTGGTATTACACCTTGAAGCCTACTGGTGACAGCGCCCTCAAGTTGTGATTGGCATCTTTTGAGCATATGCTGACCACAACTGTGACATTTACAACCATGTTCAGACTTGATTAATTGTAAAATTAATAGATTCAGCAATTAGCTTAATTTATACAAATACTACCTAGTGTGTGCTACCTATTTTTCTCATTAAATTCAATGCATAGGATGTGACGGGGTAATTGGCAGATCCTCCATCAGAATCCACAACATATCAGTTGTTAAATGTACTACTTCATGTGGTTCTTTGTCAAACCAGCAGTCTTGGCTAAGCATAGCAATTTACAGATACATGTACATAGCTAATACTGATTTACAAGTTATGTCAGTGATTACATACACTCTGCTCATGAATGCAACCATATTACTTTACAATCTGTGCATAGACTTTATATTTACAGGAATAAATGAAAGACCAGAACCATGACTCGCATAATCAAGAGTGGTTATTAGCACCTGTGCTATACAAAATTACTTTAAATAATTTATACTGGTATTTGGAATAACATGGTAGAACAATTAATTCACTGTTTTTGACAGTTGCTAAAACGTAACCAGACTCTGAAGTCCTGTGAACCTAACTTTTTTTCTTGTATTGATAGTAATCAGTTTAAAAAAACGATTTGTGTATTTGAAGAGGTAAAATATGTGAATAATGGGCCACATGTGCATTGAGCCAAAAATAACATGAACACCTTCATATAGTCTACATACAGCATCATGAAAAAGATTGTTCTTGAGTAAATATCTCTAGCATGCTGACACAGAGTACTTTCACAACACATTGATGTTATTAACGCTTGTGATGCATCTATCACAAATAACACACACCTACGTCAGGTAAAAAAAATCAATTTAATAGAACTGAACTCGTGAACATTTTATCTCAGAATAAAAACAGAATAATTTAACACAAAACAGGAAGCCTTTTTACAGTACACACAGTATTGTTTAACAATAACTTGTTTTTTTTTTTTACCTAATCTTCACAAAAATCAACCTGATATTACAGTACTGTTATTAACAGTTAACACATCTGCTGAAAAGTATTGTGGGTATTCGTGGAGGCTTCCAGCAGGCAATGTGACATCAGTGAAAGAGCTTCAAAAAAAAAATACATTTCTCACTGCTATGTCATACAAGTCTTTCATACAAATTTTAAAAAATATATTGCACTTTCTAAAAAAAAATGATATTGATATAAACAAAAAATACCCAAGAAAAGTTGTACCTGTATAAAATAAATATTTCCTCAATTAGAGAATGGATAAAGAAAAAACATTCAGAGTACTGACAAGTTCAAATGCTTCCAATGAGGTAACCACTGTAGGAGGAACAGCCTCACACTTTGAGTCAACGCGAGCCTAATAAGATTGTGTCTGATTGGCTATCCAACCCAATCAACTAACAGTCAGACCAATCACAGAGCTGCTTTCTGTTGACAGTTTATTTCAAATGTATTTTCAGCCTCAGTCTAATGACCTGTGCTCTGGTGCAACTCTTTGCAGATCTAAGATAAGATGCAGGAAAAAAAAAAGAAGACTAAAAAGCAGCATCATGAATGTACAAAATTTGCTTCCAGCCAAATTTTTATATGGCTTTTCTACAATTTTCTAAATTAATTTCGAATCAAAAGAACATAATTTCACACTGATTACAGGTCTTGTTTATCATTTTTGTGAAAACAATTTGCTGGTGTATTTAATTTTTTTTAATTGTTACAACTGAAAGTGACTGGCATTAAAAAACTGAAACTGGTCACATGATTTCAATGTGATCACCTCATTGCACAGTCAATGATTTAACCCCAATTTCAGATCTATTAGATTACAGACCCATGGACTCCGGTTAAAGTTGCAGTAGTGTTCAATCTAAAATATTCTTCCAATTCACGCACATTCATATCATTAAAATGTCACACAATAAAGCTTTAGGAATGATCTTAGAGTGCAAGGTACAATCCCTTGATTACCAGATCTGTATTCTTAAATTTACTTGATTTTCAAAAAAACAACAACAATAAATTAACAAGAAACGCACATTGATAAACACCTATTCTATAAGCATGTGTGCAGTGAAGTTCAAATACTATCAGTAATATAATCTGAAAACAACCCCTAAATTAGAGGGTTATCATTAAAACTTTACAAATACTCCAAATTTATTTAATTAAAAATGACCACTAACATGTACTTTAGCACTTTGTGAATAATCGTTAAAAAGGTTGTCAGAAATGGATCAAGTTTGCTGTACTTGAAATGCCACTAACATTTTCTTAATTCCCTTATAGAGCAAAAGCAGTAATATTAATATGCAATTTACATGGAAGAAATCCTCTGACCCTTTCCTATTTTTCTGTAACACACTTGAAATGAACAAGTGACATTCCGTGCATCAGCAAAATTGACAGTCAACAAATGTTTAAAGTTAGATTAAAGTCACAATTTTATGAAATTTCTGAGGATCACTTTTCGCAGCAGAAGTTTGGAGAAATAGGCGATTATGGGATAGATATTTTACTGCAAATATATTTTAGAATATTTGGAAAATACCAAGTTTAAAAAAAAAAAACATTTCAATCATAATAAAAACCTCTAGTCTCTGATCAAGTATACAATATCAATACTTAAAGCGGAGGGGTGTTGTCACCTGTGTATGCAGCAGATGGCCATAGTGTATTGTTGTTTACAAACACACGTCTACCAATGAGCCTTTGCCTTTTTAGAGTGCGTTGTTATTTACGCCTGGGACTCAATCCCCACGTGTACGCAGGTGACAACCCCTCCGCTTTAATGGTTCACACAAAGATGGTGATGTTGGTTTATTTGGATTATTACGTGCCATTGATAGCGCAAATCACTGGAAATAAATGTCTTAAACATTCAACTTATTACGATTTTTATGGAATCGTTGATAAGCATTTTTTTCATTTCTCATTTGACTGTATTCGTGAATTTCTTTTGCCAAGTCTTACCAATAATTAGCACAACTTTAATGAAATGAAACACAGTTTATGTATGTACATATTGTTCTGTTCCCCTAAGGAATATGATGACACGCTTTCAGTCATGCAATTCACACTGGGACCACTATCAAATATGACACATTAACTCAACTGTGTTGGTTTCAACCATTACAATTTAGACTATTGAACTGTTAGATTTCCGCAGACAAAAATTTTTTCGTGATTTTTCTCAAACTTGCATGTTTACAAAATTCTGCAGTATTTCTTAATGCCCGACAATTTTTTCTTTCATGAAATTAGAATGATTTTAGATATTGCAAAGATAATCAGTATACATGTCTTTATGGTGTGTTCAGCCATAACAGTCATTACTGACGGTGGTTCGATGATTCACTCATCCATTTTGTTTTGAGTTTGATATGATGCACTGAATTGAACGGCAGATCTATGCGTCAGCTCACTGACTATGTCATCTGTGAATAAAAAACACAGTATTTAGTAAAAAGTAAAATGGAAGTGCACATGTAATTTGCAAAAAAAATCAACAATGATATAAATTTTCACTTCTGTTATTGCAAAAGGAAAATCAAATAAATTACTACATTTTAAATTTAAATTTTAAAAACATTAATAGTTTGTCTATACTTTAGAAATAACATCTACAAACTATATTGCATGCAAGTTTTCACCAACTCACCAGTTATCCGTGTAGACAAAGTCCCAATATGGCCGACACCGACTGCCATGTTTGAAGATGTTGACATCCGTGGTTTCCATGGAAAGAATGGTGCTCCCAACTTGTTCTGGTTAATAATTCTAGGACTTGATAAGATTTTTGTCCTTGATCTTTTATAAAAAGGGCGGTACTTGGTAGAACACGGGGAAAACCTATAGCTGTATTGAAATATATTAGTTCTAGCATTCTCGCAAGTGTTTGATTTGTCAGCCAGCACGACAGGTTTCCTGAGAATTTGAGCAGTCTTTTGATACAACTTTTCGTTTTGCAGTTCATTCTTATAATGTGAGGGTGTGACATTTTGACAGTTTTCTGTAACATTTTGAACACTGTTGAGAGAGTTGTTACTTTCCACACTTTTTGTATTCTTAACAAATCCAGCTGAATTATAATTGCAGTCCATGATGTCTTGAGAGACAAGTCTTTGAGCCAGCGACCTCACTTTACAACCACTTTCTTCCGCACTAAGTTTTGCCGAGTTATTTTTCTGTGTTCCTTTATCTGTTACGAAACATGGCGTATCTAAATCAAGCAAGCTAGTATTATTCATATCCATATACTCCTGAAACACCATTCTCTGCAGTTTTACTTTTGGTTTTATGAGGTGATCAGTTTCCCGACAAGTTGCCTGTTTTGGCACATCATGCTTTGTCATCACATTGCTCTCTGGTTCATTAGAACAGTTTAAGTCCATCCCGTCCTGAGTCGCTGCACTCTGTATTCTCTGTCTGGATTTAAAATGAGTATCCATGAGTGATATTCGTTTTTTTTCATTCTGCAAGTCTGTCTGCACAACGGACATATCAAAATCACTGCTGCAGTCTGTGCTGAAGTCACTATCAGATGAACCGTTAATAATCCTTGCCTGGGAGTTGTTTAAAGCTTTGTCGCAGCTTACAGAAAAATAATCATGGCTTTCACTATTGGTTATTTCAATGTCCATACTCTGTGTGGTGAACCCGCTATCTACTTGAAACGTGACTTCATGGTGCGTGGATACCTCGCTGCCAAACGTATCCTGCAGCGCAGTACTGTTTATCAGAGGGTTCAAATCAATGACATGCTCCAAACAATCCGCATGATTAACGTCCTCAGAGTCGCATATTACACTTGGTGTTGTCATGGTGGGCAACGAGATTGTTTTGCCACTGTCATGGTTGTGTGAATCCTCTCCAATAAGTTGGGGTGAATGACTATTAACTAATGATGATGTCATGCATTCAGAACCAATCAAGTAAGGGCTACCTCTGTCATGTGACTCAGATCTTGTGTTTTCATGGCATGGAGCATCACAACTGGAGTTGTCAAGAGTTCTCTCTACAAGATGAAAACATATTGGTAAGCACACAAGTGTAGGGCAACAAGACTTTGTTAAATTTACTTGTGTAAAATTCAAATTTAACTTTACTGTGCATGTTACTGCTCATTTTGGAAGAGAACTTCCTGTTTATACTGTATTAGAAAACTATTATATAATATGACAATTTTTAAAATGATTTACCAATATTAGGATTCATACAAAAAATGTATCAATAATAATATACAACTTTTACATCCCATGTCACAGAACAAAATTCCCAGATTAATTTCACCATAGGAACGCGTGCAAAAAAGTTCACCATACCTAGCATGAATGATAACGACTTTACTGGAGTGTCCACATTTATCCTGGATTCTGATTGGTGGATCCGAGCGACATGTTTTCCTGATGTGATGGGAGATACTTCAGGTAGGGAAATAAAACTACAACCAGTACCTGCAGCAAAACAGATTACATAGCAAATTAGGGATTAAACTTGAAACGAGTGACCATTGATTACACGAAAGGGATATTATTAAACGAGACAAGATGGAAGATACTTAGTTAATTCACAAAAAAAACTGTCAATCAGTTTGAGTGAACTAAGTGTTAATATCCTTAATGTTATTATAATCTACAAAGCTTGCTGGTTTGAGCAGTTCACTTGTGAGAATCACCCACCTGAGTTACATGTACCTGGAGTTTTCAAAATAGACTTGATGACTGGCGACAGTGATGGCGTATCCATAGCAACAGAGCACGAAGACGATGCCCTAGTCAGAACATGTGGCGTTCTCAGACAAGATGATAAATTACGTTGGATTGGACTAGACGAGAACTGAATCTGTAAAAAGTAAGATTTTTTAAATGAATAAAGCTGTGAAAAAAGATATGCTGTTCTAAACAATTTTTTTCAATTTATAATTTGTGTGTCATGAAATTAAAGCGATAATTCTTCCTAAAATTTTTAAAAAATTTACAAAGAAACTTGATCAATCCTGTCTGTCAATTAAGATGGAGAAGTAAAAATATAGATTTGAAAACGTGTACATGTTTGTTATCAACTCGAACGCAAGTTGGCATGAGTGATTTTGATTGGACGTACCAATGGAGATGTTTTCACTGGCGTATCATGTGAGGAATACGAGCTACTGACTGGTGATATAGAGGGCGAGTTTTCACCACACCGCGTAGACTGCTGTGAGCTGCCAACATTCTTCACTGGACTCAGAAGAGAAGAGTTTTTGCCCTGGAAAAATAACTTCCGTCGCAGCGACGACAGGCTGACTTCATCGTCATAATCTCCATCCTCATTGTACGAGTATAAGTGACCTGCATAAAAAAAGATTGTTATAGGTGTTGGTGGTATTTGTTGAAACTTGGATTACATTTCTGTGCATAGATCTTTCAACATATTACCATGGTAATGCTAATAATTTAAGCTACCATGGAAATTAGCTCTGTAGATCTGTGTTCAGATTCTATCAATTTCTTTTTTTCTTCAGTAAATAGTAAGGGGTGGACACTTAGAAACGATGCGAAATAAAGATTGTGCAAATTATTGTACTTATTTTTGATGTTGTTGTAATTTTTTTGTTTTATACATCTTTTTTTTTTCCTGTCATTGTCGCTGTAGTTTTCATTTACTCTATTTGATTTCACTTACCCAGAACAGCTTGGAGATCCAAATCTGATGGGATTGTCAATGTTGTTTGACAGCATGCTGAAAGGAAACAGAGAAACATATGAGAGTGTGTATTTGATCTCAAAAAACATAGGGTTTATGGTAAATTAGTTTTTGTTTACAGTGAAACGCTTGACAAGAAAAATTTTCATATAACAAAATAAAAGGAATTTTACTGCTAATATTGATTTTACCATACTAGTATTACCTGCTGAGGTTTTTTTTTCTATTTATTTCGGCTATCTGAGGAGCGGTAAATGTGCTAATGTGTAACCACCGCCACGTACGTAAAAAAATGGATTTCTCATGCAAATCTGTTTTATTGGATCGATATTGAAAACAACATAGTGCATTTATTGCTGTGATTACTAATATACAGTATCAAAACACACACAGACAGAAACATTTGACTGAAGCACAGTGGTAACAGTACTTACCATCAACACCTTTGATGTTATTTTTGTAAATATTTGCACCTTTAGGAGATTGCATGGAGGTATCACTACAGTGTTCAGTAATGTCTGGTAAGAAAAAAAAAATTAAAAAAAATTGTTAAATCCTCATATTGACTATATAATATTCTTAGTTTATTATATACTAGTAGTCAAAATGAGGATTTAACAATTAACAATTTTTTTTAATTTTAATTGTTCTAATCAGCATATTTCTTTGTTTCACCGAACACCCGTTTATTTTTTAGAAATGTACAACTATGAATATTATAGCAAGTCAAATTTATAATAACTTGAGCACTGGTGGAAATTTCCTTGTAAACCTAGTTAGATTTGAGGGCAGAGAAGAGAAATATCTAGTGAATAAACTTTTGTCAATCATTGTTATGTAATCTGTTTTTAAGCAGGCTTCCTGTCCTAACACTTTAACAGCCAGCCAGTTAACACCCTGAATAGTCACACGTTTTAATTCTGCCCATAGAACTTAAAATATACTGGTATTAGTATTAACCAGTTCACTTGATTTTCTTTAAACTAAACAATGTACTTACCATCTGTGGAAGGAGGATTAGGTGAAAACTTGACATGTTTGATTTGTCTGCTTTCTGTCCATGGTGATGGAACTAGCTCCTTCTGAGAGAAAAACTGTAGAATGGAAATACAAGATAAAACAAAAAGTGAGAAAGTGTTCAACAATAAAATAGAGAGATTCCCAAAACACATACACTAGACTGATATTATATGAACAATTATATGCTTTTTTAGAGAATTTGGTTCAATACAAGAAATTGCAGAATATAAATTCAGCCAAATGCCAACAATTGTTGTTTGAATTACTGAATGAGCAAAAATGAGAAAAAAATAGCATGCTCGCTAAAAAAAAGTATAACAAAAACTTTATTCTCTGCTTTTGTACCTGGAGTTTTGATTGATAATATACTGGAACTGTGCCAGAACCAATGACTACTGTAAAATACTTTATTTTAGCTGGATATAATTTTCGCTGTATAGACTTTTTTTTGTGATTTGCATGGAATTTATTTTTGACAAGTTGAATGTAAAATATAGGAAAAAAGGCATATTCGCTGGATTTTATTTTCACTGAATTATTCCTTCAGCGAAAATTAATTCAAAGCGAAAATAAAGTATTCTACAGTATTTAAATACATCATCTGCTGACACATTTTTGTTTTTCATTCATTTTGTCCATCCAAAATTAATAGGATTACTGCAGGGCTATGACTAACAAGTATTAGTTCTTTCTAAGTTGCCCCATATACCACAGAAGGATAGGGTACAAATAGGATTCACTACAACGTGTAGTTGTACACTAATACAGCCAGGACCATATACCAGTCATACGCTAGTAGACACTTCAAAATGTTGGCAAATCTCCAGGACTAGTAAAAAAATCAGCATTTCAGTATTGACATTAAGACACTTTTTAGCTTAACACATCGCCTGCTTTTTCATTCATTTGGCTATCTGTGAAGACTTTCAGCGAACAATATGTTTACAACAAAAAACAATTTATTACCTTATCTATTGCTTTTTGTGCTTTTTCTTCAACATCTACATCAAGGTCGCCACTGTCTTGATGTACAGTCTCATCAATATCAACCGGGTGCAATATTGCTAAATTATCAATTGACCAAGTAAATTCACTCGGTGAGCTCTGCACATTTAAAAAAAAAAAAACGTATGATATATTGTACATGTCAATCAGTATCATATTATTGGTATTTACATATATATCATTAAGTAAAGATGTCAGTTACTGGTAATTCTCATATCAGACAATGAATAATGGCAGTTATAACTGTCACAACCATTCATTGTTTAATATCGCATTTACCATTTTAATGATTTTTTTTCATTTTAACCTGGCAAACTGCCAGTCATTGGATAGGGCACTTACTGAGTAGCAAAATAATTACACGTTTATAAATATATAGTAATGACTGATTAATAAATATTAGACTTAATTTTATTATTTCTGCCTGCATTGTGACGATACTATAAATATTAAAAATTATTTAATCATGCAAACATGGACATGCAAAATTGCGAGGACAAGTATTTAACTCACAATTTCCTTGGACGGCGTGACAGTCCTGGCAAACACAGAAGGGCTGAAATGAGGTAGATGAAGAGTGTCCGTGGTATCGGCGTCAAACGGGTTCACAATTAAACCATTCTCACCAGGTAAAACACCATCAACTTCGTCCATTCTACCTACCATCTAATCATCGGAACCACTTAACTACAAAACAATGAGCATTAAAACTAGATCAATTGTTACATTTTTGTACTAGACTTAACCGTTAAAAAAGACGGTGAAACACTTGCATATCAACAATCAGTATCAACGTTTTTTAGTTGCATTCTAGCATTTACAAAAAGGTCAAATAGTGAAAATACTCGAAAATCGTTAGATTACTCCGAATACGAACGAATGTACTTACCATATGTATCGAACTTTAAATTGAAAAATAACCGCTTCTGAATCCCGAGATTTGCATTCATTCAACAAGTATTCAAGTTCATATGTATCTAGTCGTGACGGGAACATGAGGTTCATGTACCAGTAGCGTCGAGAAGATGGAAGGGGTACAAGTTCGATAGAACATGGAACGTGAATTTAGAATCACAGAACGCGGAGATCGAATGACAGACTTTTTGTACTTTCCGCAACGACGCACTGGTACACATGTAACCACTAAGTGGTTGATATTGTAAAATGCGTTCTCTGTTAGAACATCAATGGCCAAAAGATTCCAGACAGAGTAAAACACTTAATAATCAATCACAATGGTTTAAATCGGGGAACGCAAAACTCAATATCTTACCTCAACTCAGCAATGTTTACAATAGAATATCGGAATGTACACATCGAATCAAATACTGCGCCTTCCGCTTCTGGAACAATGCCATCCAATGAAATTCTTTCGTTGCGCGTAGAGGTTTCTGGGAGACCTCCTAAGTCAATCAAGAATCATGTCATATAACTCGTCAGCAAGAACATTTCAGCTACTCACTGTGTACATTTGAGAATAAAAAACATTAAATTACACACTATACAATATTGTTTTTTTTAAATAAATGAAGAAAGCCAAGATCATCACAAATAAGTGGAATAATTTAATACTAATATCTACTCAGTTAGAGGGTGTGACCTTTGACCTATTGTTAAATGCCCTGTTGATAATCCCAAGTTACTCCCCTAACGATTATAACGTACTTTTGCAGCAATTGGCTGTTCTGTCAGTTCCTTTGTAATCTGAAAGAATATATGCAGAAGTGTGATAATCAGTCCACTGGCATTCCATTGAAATATACCAACGCATATTAGTATTTTTCATTCGTGCAATTTTGTTTTGTTTTTGCTTTCCAAAATGCGCAACACAATAATATTCTTATAGTTGCTAAATCAGCTACTTACAAAAAACAGACAAACGTAAATTGAAAGATAAATATACAAGCATGGATGTACATCCATGATACAAGCAATAAGATATGTTATAGGATAGGATAGGATAGGATATTTTATTTGGAACGTACACAAAAACAATGCTTGAGTAAAGTCCAACGTAAGAAACATACAGTATCACAACTAATCTAAAATAATTTTAAAATCTGAAAAACAAAATTAGCTAAAATACTACAAATATATTTGTCTACACTAGAGAAAACATTAATAAACAATTCTTCATTTG